GATACGGCCAGATTAATCGTAAACGCTGGTTAGTCGGGAAAGCTCCGCAAAGAAAGTTTGTCTAATTGAATGCCCGAGAACATTTGCCACGGGTTGAAAAGAAGAGAAAAAATGGACTAACCAGATGCTGGATGAAAGTACTGATAATTAGCAGTTTAACGGCGGTTAGAACACTTGTGCCTAACCAGGTGGATGCACCCGCTGTGGAGTGTTACATCGAGCAGTTGCGAAAGAATTGGCCGACAGACTAAGCCCAGACAGTGCATTTGGAAAGAAAACTGGTTTTATGGCTGTGAAGCGGATGCTATTTGTTCATGCATAGTCGGGACGACGTCAATACTGGGATTGCTCTTCGTGATCTAACCCGAGATTGCGACAATGAACATGGCCAAAGTGGGAGAATAAGGAAGCAGGAAGAGTTCGGACTCGATCTGGACGTTTTTATCCCAACAGCCCCAGTTTGGAGAGAGTGTCTCCTCTTCGCCTCAGGCCTTCATACAGTGCAGCTTTACGCTTTTCGCGGTTATTTAAGAGTCAAGCAGTTCTAGTGAGATTGAAGATGTGCTATGAAACAGGGTGATCTGATATGAGATTAATTTGTTCTATTTTGTTTAAGGTGATGAAGGACGGGTAGTAGAATTTTCCCACAATCATATGAGTAGAGCAGACGTTTCCATTCAATTTCACATAGCCTTGCTTTCCCAAAAGTCCATCATTTAGGAAAAATTTTACTTCAGTCCTCCATCCCCTTAAATGGAATAGGGCAAATGCATCTCAGATTACTGATTTACTGGTAGTCTCGAAACTTTACTTGCATACGAAAAACAATGTAATTTAACACGAACATAAAGAATTCGGTATGAGATGTATTCACCATATTTCGTTCAAATTGATGAAGGAGTGAAAGTTGACTTTTCCCACAATACTATGAGTAGAGCTGGCATTTCCATTCAATTTAACATAGCCTCCCATTCCCAAAAGTCCTTCTTATTCGGGGTGGACTGCAGTTTCGACCTTGCATAGGTCTTATCAATACCGCCAGCTGGACTCGAACTAGGGCAGAGTAGCTATAATTTAGACACGTCAATAACTACGCCACATTTCTACAAGTGCTCTTTAATTACAGAGCAGATGTGAATTCCTCCATATCGCATTATTTGGTTGGATTGTTGAGGAAGCAATGCTATATTTGCCATAACAATTGACTACATTACTCATTTTTCGTTTATAAGTTGGGTCTCAAGACTACCAATTCAATGAAGGCGTCAGTCCTGATCATATCATTGTGGGAAAATTCAACCATCTTTTCATCCGTAAGTAAGTAGAGTTTCGAGACTACCAGTAAATCAGTGTAATGAGATGTATTCACCCTATTTCGTCTAAGGTGATGAAGTGGCAATGTAGCCGAGTGGTTAGCGTGTCAAGCTACCGTCATGCACTGTCGCGGTTCGAATCCCGCTGAGGGTGTT